CTGCTATCACCAGTAAAACTAAATTAGAAGTAAACAAAACACAGTAAGCTCTCTAAGAATTGCACACAATGCAAAGAACATACTACTGTACTACTGTAGGACTTTAGTTCTTGATATTGGAGTTTTGAGGCCGGAATAGACGATTTTAAAATAATTTGAAGCATCCCTCAACCAATATTCATTATTTGTGACATAAATGTATAACATAAACACGAACATAAACACAAACATTTTTGATTAGGATTCCTTATATTTGGTTATTAAAGAACTGTGATATAAACTGTGTGGTAAATTTTCATTTCATTCATTTTCAAAATGTGGTTAAACTGAACGAGTGAACGTCCATAGTCAGCTGCAAGAGTTGGAAACGGGAAAGAAAGACAGCAAGAGAGAGAGAGAGAGGAGAGAGAGAAAGTGAACATGTTTGTAGATTAGTACCTTTCAGTGTTTGGTTTCTTAAAAATGTGTGTGTGCTTATAATGATGTAGAAAAAACTGCTGAATTGTTAATCTCCATTCGTAAGCATTTTCAGCACCATAGAACTGTCCACTTTGTAGACTACAGCTATGTTCTGCTATGTCAGGCCTCTGAAAGATCCAGTGCAATGATTTTTAGGCATGGCATTTCAGCTACAAAAAAAGCTTCATATGTAATTCTGATTTATTTTTACTCCTCCAGTTTTCAGTGAGGTAAAGGGACATGGTCCTGCCTATATGCTGGTGAACCACTTGGTATTAGTGCTGCACCCTGAGTAAATATCTTATGATCAGAGATGGCAAGATTCCTTTCATGCCAATCAAAGTGACAGCGAAAGAGTGTTATTTACGGAAATGTCCTCCTTTAAAAATACAAGAAGCACTCAACACACACAGTCGTGTTTCCATCATCAAGAATTTCTCTATGTACACAAAAGGCCTATTTCTCTCAAATATTGTTCACATATCTGTCAAAATCTGTGTTAGTGAGCACTTCTCCTTTGCCGAGATAATCCATCCACCTCACAGGTGTGGCATATCAAGATGCTGATCAGACAGCATGGGTATTGCACATTGTTTTGGTGATTTCTTTCCAAGAACTTGAATGTTTTGAATGTTTACCAGAGGAAAGGTTCTAGGGACAGCTTGTACATCAAGTTGCTCAGTCCACCTTTCTTCAAAAAGATTCTACAGACAACCCCTATAGTCTTTCAGAAGTAATTCATCAGTAATCATAAGGGTGTGATTATTTTGGCTACGTTAAAAACCCTGTAAATCAGCCAAAAACTACCATGAACACTGGCTGGTGAGATCATTCAAATCTGTGGTTGCTGAGGTAACATTTTATTTCCAAAAAGGTTGTTGTTGAACAATTAGAAGAAGGTTAACACTGACAGTTGGGAAACTTCATGTTGCCATGCCCTTTGTTATACAGTACCATGAAATTGAAAATGTGACACTAGCTGGGCTGGACCTTTCACACCGCCTTTTGCAGGCCTGCTTCTGGTGGGTCACTAAATGATATGAATAAGATTAAGTCTAACCAGTGTCTGGGTCCCTTGGTAGAACATATGTGCTTTAAAAGTTTTCTTAGAGAAAGCAAACTATTTTTTGTCAAGATTGGGTTGTGTTTCGAAAGGTTTGTGAGCTATTGATCCAGAAAAGTGGTTTTCATAGATAAGATAAATGTCATATTTTCTGAAAAAGATTCTTATCATTAGTAATCATATGACATTTCTGAGCTTTAGAAAGTTTAGAAAGTGTAGAATAACAATAAGATAATTTTGGAGGGCAATCTCCAGATAAGTATTACAGAAATACTATATGCAGTACAGTACATAATGACAGAGAGACATGTGATTCAGCAGGAGTGCTGTGTGCTATGAAGTATTTTTCTTAAAAAAATGAGTTTTCAGCCTGCCACAGAAGATAGAGTGACTTGCAGTGCAAAGGTCACCTCGCCACTGAGGAGCCATAGGGAGAGAAGCTGAGACGGGTGCAGTGATGACCACCATGACCTCAGGGTAGGCACAGCACAGCAGCAGAGTGACAGTGATGGGGGAGAGGGGCTCTTACACTCATTCTGATGTGTTTCTGCTCATAGCTAAAGTGTGCATCTATAGAGCTGTGCATGTTTCAAGGTGAGGAGTAAAAAATCTGTTTTGTTTCCTCAGTCAGTGCCTTTCTTCCTTTCTGTCGCCATACTAGTGTCAATTTTGAAGAGAACCAGAATCACAAAATATTTTCCCTGACTTCTGGTAATTACATGAATTATTGTGTGAATTCAAAGTAATAAGAGGAAATATGGGGGAACACAACAATAAATTTTGACTTCTAATTTTAGGAATACGTGTTTCAGCACATCCTGAGGAAGGTCTGTTGTGCAGTTGATTCATAAAACCAAAAAGAAAATACCACCTCACTTTGATTTTTACCTGCTACCAAGCACCTCACTATATAGGTATACATTTCCCTTCAATGCTTCTATATATTTGAATAAAACAAATATGAATTGCGCAAACTAATGATGGTACCATAGCTACAGCAGCTCCTTGAAATACAACTGTGTGCCTTTCTCTCTAGTCCACATTTCTCTTTGTATTGATAAATTGTAAAATCAGTGGCAATTTAATCTACCCTCTTGAGCTGCTGCCTGCTTGAGGTATAGCACCAATTCTTTTTATTATTATTACATTTTAAAAAAAGACATTCTTCGCTTTCATTCTTGTATTACTTTTTATTCTAAAACTCTCAAGAGTCCAAACTCTTGTCAACCAGCTTTTAAACAGACCTTAAAATGAGAGCAACCCTTTTGAATAGTTCCTCTTGGGAATGGCTACAAAGTGCAGCTGAAGTCCGGCAACCATGCAGTAAAAAGTGGGACTTCTATAATTAAGGAACTGAGATGCATTGGACTCAAACTGACTGAAGTGCAAAAGTAGAACAGGTCAGTGTCTGCGGTCAGTCCAGCAGATGCACAGCAAACAGCCATATGACACTGAACAACAGATTTAGAAAGCATATTCTTCTTCATTTATCACATAACACCTATTACAGGTTGTATTTGACAAGTTACTGACAATGCAATCTTTGTGATGAATGCCTTTTTGTGATATAATGAATATTTGCTGCCTCCAGGCTTCCTCTATAGTGACAAGTGAAATAACCTTAAAGGGGAGAAAGAAAAACAACAGTTTGCTATCGAACTGACCAATTCATTTGTGTCTTGAGTAAAAGGGTAGGTGTTGGCATATTTTCTTTATGGGGTCATAAGCTGAAAATGTTTATAACAAATGTCTAGGTGAGCCAGCTTTCTTTATTTTCACAAGCAGGCTTGTTATACTTTAAAAGTCCTTGTTTTTGGTCCCTTGATATATGGGGAATTACCTGCAATTCGTTTTATTCTGTGTCAAATTTCCTCCAAACATCCAGTGGGGCCTCATTGGTATACAGACACTGTATTTTGTACAAATATTACTTTTTACCGCATGCTTGCTGAACTAATGCCTTGCTGCAGTTGAAGGCCCCAAGAGGAATAGTTGAGTTAAAAAAAGATCTTTCAAGCTTAAGTCACAGGGAATGCTTCGGCTGGCTGAGGGAAAGGTCATTGAGGCAAATTAGAATAATATTTTAAAATTTACTGATTTCGTTCTGCTATATAACATGGAAGGATTGCCGGTTGCCTAGATGTTATAGAAGTATAGAAGTAGTTGGAGTGTGACTGGGAGGCCAGACAAATGTGTTTGGGGAAAGTGAGTGAGCAACGAAACAGGACAAGTGGAAAAAGAGCATGCAGGCTCAGTCGAGTTCACACGGTGGAATCACAGTGAAGAGAGCGGAGAGAAGTGACAGGAGAATAATGTGGGATACATCAAAGATAAATGCACCAAGGAAAGGGGCTTCTTCAGTGACAACAACCACATATTTAAGGACAGATGAGAGATGAATGTATAGGGGGTCTTCTGTGAATGCCACCACTTAGTGTCTCTTCTCTAAATGTGACACTAGGGGGGGGCTGTCGCTCCTTCTTAGCCTCTTGCAGAGGTCGTGGAGTCAGACAGACAGGCGGAGAGGCAGCAAGGCCCACGTATCTTCGTCCCCGGAAATCCTTCCATCCCTCCGCCGACGGGCTGATTTGCAATTCAATAAGTCACAATGTCATTTCTTTAGCTTTTACACATTTAGCTGACAAAGGGAACCAGGCACGCTGCCTTATGAAATATTTTCTCGTACTCAAAGAAGACCTTAATGTTCTATCTCTTCTGGCTTGTTCACCCCCTTCTCTGCTCCCACAACACACAAACACGCACTCACGCACACACACACACACACACACACACACACACACACACCCGTCCTATCAATAGAAAGTGAATGAGTTTTATTACAAGGTGCCTGGTGTATCACATTTTGCAGTAGTACAAGCTGTCACACAGCACTGGAAGCGGATCTGGTGTGTGTGCGCGCGCGAAGCTGGCGTCTATCATTACAGAGCGAACAGGTGTAGCGCGTGTCTTTGTATGAATAATGCAGAGAGAGGCTTTGAAAGAATAAACAACACCTGAACGGGCGCGCGCGCACACAACTGACACCAAGAAATAGGCCTGTTCTTATTGGATATCTTTAACTTGTGTTTTCCTTTTCTCAGCATCAAAAGCTCCCACATACAGGAGCATCCCTTTAACCTGTTTCCTGACTGGCTGTTTTCAATTAGACTGCTGGCTTTTAATTCCTAGGTCTATGTTAGCCATTATTTAAAAAACAAACAAACATATGTTTTAACAGTCCTTGTGGCTGTGGTATGGGTTCTTTGTCACACACGATGCATGAAATTAATGAATTAAAAAAACATATAAAGGAATCTTAATTGATAAAAGAAACCCAAAAAAGCCAAAATAAATTCCTACACCCACCATTGGCTGCTTAACTGTCACTCAAATCCCCAAACCCCGCCCTCATCCTCCACCTTACTCAGCCCCACAGCCCCCGCTGGCCCTCCTTCCTCTCCTCTGCCGGCTGGTGGAAGCGTCAGACCTCCTCCTCTTCTGTCCTCTCCTCTCCTCCCTCCATCCCACGGACGAGTGTTTTCAGCCTCTCAAGTTGTGCCCAGACGCACACACACACACACAAGCTTTTACATACTTACACAGCACAGCAAGAGGAGGACAGTCGGAGGATAGACTGAGGGAGGAAGGAAAAGAGAGCAGACGGAGCTGCTGCCGGGCGAGCGGAATTTGGATTTTATTTAAACCTTTAAACCGAGCCTTAAGTGACAGAGTTTTCTTGGGTTGTGTTCTTGCAAACCCGCCAATGAAGTGGACTTTAATTCGTTTGGAGGAGCTCTTCGTCCACTCTGCTGGTCAACTTAAACTTTTAAAGAAAGAAAAGTGTGAAACATTGAGGCTTCCTCAGCTTTAGCTGTCCCGTTTTGATAAATAAAGCAGAGGAGCGCACCGGTGGAAAAAAGCTCTCCACGGGGGGAAACGGGTTCATTCCTCGGCTCTGGCTTGAAGGAGACGCACCGCAGACTTTTTTGGAGGGAGGAGGATTAAAAAAGAAGCCAGCCAGCACCGGAATTGCCGATCGGGGGTTTCTTTTTTATTGCTGACTCAAGAAGGATTTATAGTTTACTCCAAACCTCATCTGCGCGTTGTCTTAGGTCAGGCACAACGGGAGCGCAGTTTGGTCAATTTGAGATTATTGATAGCACCGATGCGGTAGTAAGAGAGAAGAGAGATAAAAAATTGAAAGATCCCCTTTCGTCCGTCCTGTGAACAGTCCCGGAGTGTTTTTTGTTTTTTTTACCGACAGAAGGGATGGGGACGCCGTGGGGAAGGGGAGACGCGCCGGTGTGTTGTTGCCTCTGGAAGACGGTGATTCTTCTTTTCCTGTCGAAAGGTAAGAGATACAAAGGCAGGCGAAAACTTGTTGCCTGTTTGAAACGATGTTATTTAATTAAAAAGTAGAAAGAGGTGGCACACAATTAAAGAAAACAATACCCGTGGAGCTTTACATTTTATTTTAAAATATCATTGCTGATGAGTTTCGGCCATAGGCGTTTGGCGTTTTGTTTTGGGTTGGAGATCTGTTGTTGTTAAAAATTGGTCTGCAACAGTGATATAGAAGAAGGGAAACCCAACTCTAAACTAAATAAGTGTGGCAGTATTCACCTCTAATAAGTGTGAAATTGGAGTAAGTTGTATGAAGTCATGAAATTATGATAGATGTGCGTTTGCCATGTGGTGGTCACAGACTGGAGGTTATGTCTGCCAACATTTTAACACTGCTAAATTTAAATGAAGCAACTTTCACTTTTTTGCCAGATGATGACTGATTAGCCCACATTCACCTTGAGACCTCCTGTATCCAGGCGTGTGTCTGAAATGATAATTGACAAAGCCAAAGCGTCAAATGACAGATGCGTACTGACTGGTGCCATCTGAGACACCCGAACCTCGGCTGGTCGGTGAATGACCAGCTCGTGTGCTTGTTTGAGGTCTGAGAACTGAAAAAAGCTGGTGGCAGCGTTTTTCAGCAAAACATAAAAAGAAAACTTTTTTTTAAAATTTGGCAGAGAAAACTAGACTGACTCGTTGCGCATGACCTCTTCCGTGGTCCTGGAATCCGGTTTAGAGCGGAGTGTCCCCCGCAAGAGGTGGACTGGAGCGGGTTTCTTATAAAGGACTATGAAGTCCTCGTAAATCGAAGGAAAACAAGCTGTCCCTTTTAAATGTAGGCTACTCATGAGCCTATGTGAACTGAGAAAAAACGGACATATAGCTTAACTCATCGCCCTTTATTAAAGTGGAATTATGATACGTGTCTTTCTTCATAAATACAATTAGGCACGCAGAGAAAGAAAGATAGAAATGAGAGGTCAGAATCTCTCCAAAAAGTTCACCTGTGAAAAGCGCTCCCTTCATTACAGAACTCTTTAAGTGCTTTCTATGGATCTGGCTGAAGGTGCGTGACTTAAACACAATGTATGCGTTCTTGTATGCTCAGTTAAAGCTACATTAAAAGATTGTTTATTCAGAGCGGATGGTGAGCCACCGTCTTGCTCACACTAAATCAGGGCGGAGGTATTCTGAATTCAGGTCGGGTAACACCACCACCCACTTACTCCTGGGACAAAATATTAACCTGAAGAAGGCTGACAGATATTTTGGGTCTGACTGCGCGCTTGTACGCCTCCGTTTCCCACACAGATGACAGTCCTTCAGCATTAGTATCACATTTCCATAAGTGTATTAGCTATGCGTCTGTATGTACGCTTGTGTGTGTTTTAATCAGCTGCACTTACGACCCACTGAGCAGTAACAGTCGTTGCGTTGTGCGCTCCGGGGCGCGGTGGTCGCCGTGGCCGCGGCACACGGCAATCACTCAGGAGACCAGAGAGGAAACTGCGAGCAGGGGCTACGCTCTGTAAAACAGCTGTGCCCGGCAAAACGGCTGAGTAACCAAAAGATGAAATCAACCAAACACACTCCTCTCTCCTCCTGTCACATTCGGAAACACGACAATACAACCGTTTGCCCTGAGACTGCAGCTGTTTTGTCTGACAGTGCATGTTGCTCTTTGACTGCGGTCTAGCAGCTTCCTTGGTAGTTTGGATGACCAGTTGTATCTCTCTTTTTTTCCTCTGTCTGGGCCTCTCTCCCTCCCTCCCTCCCTCCCTCACTCACTCACTCACTCACTCACTCACTCACTCACTCGCTCACTCACTGCTGTTTTCATCACTTAAGGATATTACATTGACTTATATACATTTCCTGGAGACTTACCCTTTCCCTCCGCTGCTACCCCACTACTTGCCTAACCCCAACCTTAACGAAAACCTAACCTTAGAGTGAACCAAGTCTTCACTCTAAAATTTAATGATTTACATTATGGGGACTTGCATTTACTCCTTAAAAGGAAGGTGAATCTCCACAATGTGACTGTAAACAGATTATATCCCCACAACATGAGTATTTCTTTCTCTCTCTTTCTCCCTCTCTCCCTCCCTCACTCACATGCATAGGAAAAGGTCAATTCCAACTTGACTGTAGTTTTAACAGTTTATATTGGGCATTTGGGGGCACTGGCTCTAATGGCATAATGGCCACCTGAGGGTGTTTAAAAAATCAAAACACCAACCTTGCTCTCTCTCTTTCTCTCTGGGATTCAGTGCAGTATTTTTGTCAGTGCAAGTGTGTCAGTGTTCACTTGTTCAAGCGCTGCTTGTGCCCGTGTGTGTTTGCATTTACAGTAGATATGTGTTCTCAATTAGTCACATAGGCCCTTAGTCACAGCGTTTGTGTATGCTGCTGTCTGTAATCAAACTGAAGCTATCAGAATTCTCCATCCCCATATCTGACTCCACCTTTTGGAAGATATTTTGCTTAATTTCAATGTAATGTATTGTTTCTGGCAACTTTTGGTTTTGGGTTATAGGAACTACATGTCTGCACCTCTAATCAAAGACATATTTATTGGCCTTTTATCTCCCCAGTTGTCCCTATTTGTGTCATTCTCTCGTTATTCCCTGAGTGGCGTTTCTTTTTTCACATCACTCCATTTCATTGTAATTACATCAGTCTGTCATTTCATCATCCAGGTCGTCTCCAGGTTGTCTGTCAGTTTGTTCAAAAGCTGAGTGTCAGACAGATGCCTGTTAACAAGCAAGGAGTTAGTTACTCTTAGTTTGGTCTTGAAGGTTCAGGGCCTGAATATTCACTGGGGTCATGACTCAGCTCTGTATTCTCAGCAGGAGGTCTGTTGTGGGCTGGTGGCCGGGGAAATCCTTACACACACTCATGCAAATCAAACCTAAAGTCAGCACATGAGTTAATATCTTTATTTATCACCTAGTTTATAGTTTATAAAATTTTATAGCAAGTATTGTTTATGTTTGACACGATTTGAGTTCTCCAGTGTTTGCTGGTACCTGGGTCCAAACCAATTTGATGACCAACTGATGTATTATTGTATTTTTTATTATTTTTCCTTCTTTCTTGTAGATGTATAACTGTGTTTGTTGCATGCATGCACTATGCATAATGTGTCTTTTTATATCTGAATGTGTATACATAAATTAACTATTACTGCTATTCTTATATAGCTGGTTATTTCAACTAATATTAGCTTATTGTAGATTATTTATATATATATATATATATATATATATATATACAGAACACGAGAACTTATTTATTTTTCTGTTAATGGTGAAATGTTCTACTCTTGATAACAGTTCTTTAAAAAAACAAATGTAAGGGATCTTTTAAAACTCTCAAATATATCTGTAAGGGCCCTGGGCTATAACTTGAAGGGGCCATGGGTAGTTTTCACTGGCCCCTAGAATTGAGGTTCCAGATTGCAACCACTACCTTCCCAAGCGTGTGCTCGTGCTCAAACTAATGAGCGAGCCAAAACAGAGACCGACACGTGGACAGCTTCACACAAAATGCTGTAAACCCAGGTAAACTCCCACTGCAACGTTATAGTAATATTTTTTTTATCAGTTTGATGTTAAACTAATGATTGGTTCATTAAACGTTACATTCACTGCATTTAGCTGACATGCGTTAGCTCGCCTGCCTGCTTTTCATTTAATTTTGTGCACCTTTCAGCGGAGAGGCCCAGCAAAGTCAGCATAGCAAAAATTTTTGGATGATAACGAAAATGGTTAGCGAGCTAGACTGAATATTATATTTTATTATTATTATATATGAGATTGTTGGCACACTTTAGAATAACAGTTAGACCGCAGTAAGTAACATTAATGGGTCTTCCACTGTGTTGTTATCCTATAATTGGTTTTAGAAAATGCTCCACATTTGCTTTGTACCTTTTTTGTAACTTGCCAGTTAACGTTATCTGTCTTGAGCCAACTAAAACACAAAATCACAATATATTTTACATGCTTTGCAGTTATGTTAGCTTACCTGTCCAATCAGATGAAAGCCAACTCTGGGTCAGTTTTTATCTCCAAAACAAAGCCTCAAGCTCTCTTCATGACTCAAATGCCTTTCCGATGTTGACCGTGTTTTCTCTCGATGTTGATCTGATTCTCCTTTGGCCTGATGGCCTTCAGCACATTAGAGTTTATTGTTTGTTTTTATCCTTATGTGGAGTCTGTGTTGGAGTTTTCATTTTTATTTGGTGTTAGTGGACATTCCATTACCTGCAGTGTTGTCGCGATGTACAGTTCAGAGTCAGTAGGGAGAGGCCCAGGAGCGCATGAACGTCACTGGCTACGTATACCAATAGATTATGTGGAAAATCCGAGCACATTTCTTCAGGCAGGAAGCAGCATAGTGGCAGTTTCAAGCGACTGAGAAAGCAGTTAAAATGTTCATTTTTATGTGAGATTCCAACCAGTTCACAAATAGGCAATTAAAAAGTGATTAATTTAATTGAATAAAAAACACATATAGCCCCTTTAAAGCATGTCTGAGGGAAATACTTGTTTAAACGTTTCTGATTTGCTGGTGTCATTTAAAATATGTTCATCAGGGAACACTCCCGGTGAACAGATCCACTGATGTTCTAACTGGGAGCACGTGTACAAGCATTTATGTAATTTAACACCTCAGTGTTAAGTAGCTCCCTTTGAAATCTTTTGCCTTTTTTAAATGCTTTGTGTGTATTAATGTATGGAATAGCCATGTGGCAGACACTGTATTTTGTGTCAAACGCTGGACAAACCTGCTCTATTCAAAGTGTGTGTATGTGTGTGTGTGTCTGTCTGTGTTGGTGTCTGGCTATGTGCTTCAGCGCGTTTTGCAGTACACTGTTAACCTGTAGCAGAATGTCAGCACTATGCACCATTACTCATGCGATACAGAGCATTAATAATTACTGACGTAAAATCACTGAGACACACACACGCGCTAGTCTCTCACACTGTCCTT